GGTTGAACAGGTTATAACTGAATATTTGGAAATACAACATTCACACATTGAAAAAGTAAAAGCACACTTTTTAAACATATTTTTTTAGACAAACCTTTTATTAAATTCCAAAACTATTTGACACTTTGTTTATTTGCATCATGTGTCATGTTAACAGCAGCTAATTTAATAGCCTCTCATTTTTGTCTTTTAGCATTGTGCACAAATGCTATTGACAGCTCTGAGATTGGTCATTGAAGGAAGATATTGAGTGTTTGATAAATAAAATATGTGGGGGTTTCCATCGTGAGAATATCTTTCGTCTGCCAGCAAAAAGCACCCTTTTCTGATCGTTTAAAGAGGCCCTGCTTTAGGGGTTTTTCCCTTTCCTGTAATGTGTTCTAGTTTTTTGTGCATGTAAATTGTCTGCAAAGGCTAAAATCCCTGTGTTCCTTCCAGAACACAGGGATGCCGGAAACGCCTCCATTGGACTCCTTTGTTTACTTCTGTAGCATAGTGACATCATTATGTAACACTCACACCTCTATTAGCTAGCACTCCTAGATTGTACGTGATAGGCTAAGGGGCGGGACATCTCTAAACAGTTGACCAATCACAATAGAGCCCGTCAGCAGGGGCGCCGTAAGGGGGTGAAAAGTTAGGACGATTCTAAGGGCCCGTGACTGACAGGGTCCCAAACCATTTTAGAACATTAAGAAAACATTTTTTAAGTAACCTTTCATCATTTATCAATAATTAACATCGATAGAAAGTTATATTGATAATGTACTCACAAACTTAAGATTAATTTAACTTATTTTCTTCCAAAAGTTAATTATCCAAAGCCTCTGTACACCCCCTTCTATTTACATGTCCTGCCCCCAACCGCGGTGCTGCACCGGCACTTACTTTCTAGCAGAGAGTGAGAGCATGTGAGGAGGGATGCTAGGACTTACGTGTGTTGTGTACCATGTCTTAACGACAAACAAAGTCAGGCTTTCCAAAAAGTAAGGAGAGAAAGACAAGAGAGAGGGACTAAAGGGCGACAGTATGTCACCCAGTCTTTCAAAAGAAAAGGTGGGTGTGGTCCATGAGTGGTGGAAATTAGTCTGTTAGCTAAGCGTAGTCCATTGTAAATAATAATTTACTAAGCTGACATTAAAGTTGGGCTATGTAATTTATTTCAGAAACACTTGTTGTTATATTCCATGGAATGCTCTTAACATCCCGATAGCAATGAATATATTAAATGCTTTGACAATAAATACATAAAAAAATTTCATCTGTGGAAGCCGTGGCGCTGTAAAAAGCACGACCAATAATTTTAGCCGGCCCGGCTAAAATAACTGGATGGCCTACCTGCCTGTCAGCCTTCCATCTGTGCACAAACATATCTCGTGCCCTCATTGGTCATGTGCGCGTTCGTGTGTGTTGGAGGAGGGGCTCTGTAAGGAAGTCTGAAGGAAGGGGCAGATTTTTTCCGGTTGTGTACTTTCAAATTCTAGCGCACTCGAGCTGGTTTCTCCAAAATGACATACCCCACCTTTAAGTACTGTTAATATCTTCACAGAAAATTCAGAGGTTTTACATTTCAATGCTCTTTTAGCTGACATTTAATAAATGCAGGTACATTTTTAGCAGCTATTCATACTAAATAAGTTGTCCCTCCCCCTGGTGCCAGGACCAACAGATCCATCTTTAGGCTCAGCAGCCCTGTCCCCCCATAATGCTGAACCTGAACCAGCTTTTCTCCCAACTGAAGGAGGTGAGCAGCATTGTGTTGAATGACATGCCACTTAACATATCTGAAGGGAGACTGGAATACAACATATATATATATCAAAACAAATTTCAATTATACATTTCAAACACAGTATTTTACCACATATTTAAGTTATATTTATTTGGATTTATGCATTCATGTTGAGAATGTTCTATTCAAAAATGTTATTATTAAAAAGGCATTTACACCATAAAAGATGGCTATTGAGATCTATTGTCAGGAATGTTAGTGTTATATCAAATAGTGAATTCTACTGCAGCAGAATGTTGCACGTCTGCACAGTGTTATATTTTCACAGCTCAGTGTCAGTAAATACTGTGCAGTTAGTATTGGACTACAAGATAGTTGCAAGCCTGTACAGGTAGAGTTATTTAAAGCATAAATGAGTGGGTTGGGTTCTGGAGGTGTGGTTACAGCAATTGTTCTTGGTTGGCGTGGTCTGTGCCTGGTGGTGGGGCCCAATGTGATATATTTTCATGGGGCCCAAAATCCCTGGCGGCGCCCCTGCCTGTCAGCTAGCCAATCAGAGCAGACTGGGCTCTGGTTTCAGACAGAGGGCGAAAAGACCTTTTTGAACATTAAAGCATGAGACATGTCACAGTACAGGTACAAAATACAAATATGAAACTGAAAGTGAGCATAATATGTCCTCTTTCACTAAATTGAAAGAGGGATTGTGATTCAGCAACACCTGCACATATTGCGAACAGCAGTGTATAAAAGCCTGTCCACAGCTTCATATTCTCCTCTTTTAGTGCCTCAGTGGGAGGAGGGGATGAGCTGGCTTTTGGAGATAAACTGATTTTGGTTATATGAGCTCAGTCTAAATCTAAGTCAAGAGGATCCTACACTGCCACTTCAGGTATGATAGCACACTGTTGAGGGGAAGGTTATTTATCTTTCAAGGACTTTTGGAATCACTCATCAGCGTCATCACTGACATAATAAAACCAGAGCCACTGGTAACAAAGAATGAAAGGTCACTATTTGCTATAGATTGTAGCTATGACATTTATTGTATTGTAGGTATTTTACGCAGCTTTATATTCCGATGTGTTTTTATATAGATTGCCTTTAATGGAAGAATTCACAAGATGGACCAATAAGGACTGCAATCAATTATTTCCATTGGAAACTTGACATATTTGCACAACTATATTCAAAGTTATCCACGCCAAGAAGGAAACTCAATGAGAAGCATCTGTATTTAAATACTTATGGAGGTTCCGTTGGCAACAAACGGTTGTAAAATGAGTCAGGCCAGCAGAGAACATTCAGTGCCAAATGATTTCTTGTTTAAAAGCCTGTTCTGTTTCTTTGAATTATTTCTGACATTTAAATGCTGTTGACCTATTTTCTTAATTGGATTTATTTTGAAGTGTTGCAGGATGGAAAAAAACATGAATGGATTGTTGGTGGTGCAATCATTTTCCAAAAGAGTAGCACTGCTGTTCTGATGCTGCCATCTTTTAACTGAGAGGTCATAATCAGAATAAAGCAATAATGTTCAGGTTACAGTTCTTAACGCCCTTGTTATAAGGTGAAACAAGAACAAATTTGATGCAGTCTACACCATAAATCCTGGCACCCCTGACATGACTCATCTTTACCTCACACTAAATATATTCAAACTATGAATGAACATAGTGGATGAGCATAATCTCTTGCAGTATAATTAGAAGTAGAGTATGTAATTCCCAACAATGGCACTCACATCCATTGTTTTGTTCAACAGAGATTTACTATTTTGGATCAACCTTTGTGCACGGAGAAATTAGGTCAGACGTAAACAGCGTCGCTGCTGGAGTCCAACAGCACAGTGACATTTCTGTGTGGACACACAAGGAGGCGACGGATGAAAGAAGATCACTTGGAAATGTCAAGAAGTCTAGACAAACAGTTCAAATCTGCAGAGTTGTCGCATTTTGATGCCTGCTGCATTCGTAGGAAATTGGGTAGTGAAAACGTACTGGTCATTCCACAGAGTATCCCAATTGAGTGGTATAGGAATGAGTACTAAAACCCAGAAATGAGTTAGCATTTTACCACTTCAGTAGATTTTAGCCGAGACCGGCGGAAAGTTTGTCTCAAAACTCCGTGTGTGTAAGAAGACGATCCACAAGCAGAGATTTGAGATCCACAAGCAGAGATTTGAGATCCACAAGCAGAAATGTGAGATCCACAAGCGCATTTTTGGTCGACAAATACAAAATGGATTCACAAATGCCTGATCGAAAGTTGTAAATGTTAAAGAGATATTTCAAAGATCTTTTTTTTACATTTGCACATTTATTTGTGAGTTTGCAAATCTTTTAAATGCATTTGTGGATGGTGTTCTACATTTACAAAACAGATTGTTACAAAAAGGGTCGATGAAAAAACTAGGAATTAAATAAGATGGCTAGAGTCACAAAACATGTATCCTTAAGTGCTTGTATTAACAGCCAAAATGCTGAAAGAACACAAAGTAACAAGGATCTACAGTCCAAAATAGAAAGAAAAAACAAACCTCAATATATATGTACAGGTCGAAGAAATATAACTGGTACCTCTCTGCTCTACAGCCACACGAACCTCAAAAGCACTTGTGGCCAGAGGTTTATGTTAAGCCCCTCCCCATAGGACAATCAACTATTTATACCCTTAATTACTGTTATTCTTATCTACAAACATATTCAAAATGTAGTTCAAACTAATTAAACACAATAATCAAATAGGTCAACATATTATACATTTCTGACCACAGAAGCCTTAAACAATAACACTTTTACTACATGGTATGCTCCAATTGAGCACAGGTGTTTCCACTGATTGAGCCTCTACTTAAGGCTGCAGTTTTCTGTTTCTCTGTTTCACAACCTTGAACGAGAGGGAAAGCAGGTTACTTTGGCACAGCATTGTTATGTATGACTTCAAATAAAGCGATATTGAACAAATAATGACTTGGGTTTTATGTTATCAATGTCCTGCAAAGTTTCCCTGTGTGTGCCTTTTACCATGCCCCTATGCCAACTGTGATGAAGGCGTCTTCTTCACACAGATATTTACATACAAATTATTTTTATGTTCACACAAATAATGAGACATATCTAAGCCCATACAGTTTGAACACCGGTCTCGGGTTGGTTTGAATTAGAGGCGCGGGGAGCGCGTGCAGGAGCGGAGTGGAGTCTCGTGTACAAGGCGCGCGCTCACTGACCTCGCACAGCAGCACAATGCTGGACACCAAGAGTTTCTCCCCGCTATGAATCCTGTCAACGAAACGGAGAGAAGTACAGAACATTATATTTTCGCACTTGGCACCTACAAACTTCTCGCTTTCACCATTGGGACTATCGGGGTGTTCGGCTTCTGTAACAACGTCGTTGTCATCGTGCTGTACTGTAAATTCAAGAGACTGAGGACCCCCACCAATCTGTTACTGGTCAACATTAGTTTGAGTGACCTGCTGGTTTCTGTCATTGGAATTAACTTTACCTTTGTTTCGTGCCTCAAAGGCGGATGGATCTGGAGCCAGGCGACATGCATCTGGGACGGCTTCAGCAACAGCCTATTCGGTGAGAGAAATACATATCATGAACATGTATAATTATCAATGTACTTTTTAAGAAAACAGTAGAAATTGAGAAAAAGTGATTACTCCTTTTTGGCTTTTCACAGTTAATATTCTGACATAATTCAGGATATGAGCAGTTTTATGTCATGTCATTATGTTAATTAAAGTCGATGAGCTCATCCACATGTAATTGATCATGTAACGCATGGAAAGGCACATACAGCAAATACATAATTTATATAAAATGTGTGTTTGAATGGGTAAAACCTGATCATATTTTGGACACAACAAGCTCTTAATACCTCATTTGTGGATGGTTAAAATATAAATGTAATCAAAAACTGTTCACTGACAATCTAGTCCCCATAAGGAGCTGAACATCTAATGACCTTCAATACATGAAACTGAAATACTCTGACAGTGCATGTTTTTTATGAAAAATGAGCATGATGTGCAGGTCTGTGCTTTATGCAGAATAATGTTTTTTGTCACCTGTATTACCCCACAGCCTCTATTAGCTGTAAAATGCATCAGCTGCATAACAGTGTGAAGGTCTCATGCAGAATAACAGCTCACGGAGGGATCTGTGATAATGAGCTCATTACTGCCCTGTTCTATCAATTTCTTATTTTGCACATGATCTAAAGAACATGATTGCCTGCCTCTCCTGTCATGTGACACCACAGTTGGCAACACTGCAACAACTTTGAAATCAGAGTAATTTTTTTGTCCCAGGGAAATTGAGTTATATGACAGTTGCTCCATTTAAGAATGTATAGAAAATATATAATTAAAAGAAAAAATGGTCTCAATATAAGATCTAAATATAAATTAATATAGAATGCAAATGTACACCATATTTACAGTGGTGTTTCAGTATTATTAAGATATTAATGCTAAATTGCACAGTTTTAAATTATTTGGCTGCCGATGTGCTTTGATCTGGTTTTGATTTTAATAAACCTTTATATTCAAATCTCCTTATGTATAATTATAGATTCTCCCAATATGATGCATGATAACAGTGATTATAATGCATTATTTAGAAGAACGTAACCAATCACAACTATAGGAATTAGAATACACTATGGACCCTTAAAATAAAAGGTGTCAGTGAGTGAGTAATATGATATCTGACCTTATAAATCGTTATACAATGCTGTATAATGTATTGTAATTCTTTTTTATGAAGCATTGTTAACACTTGTGGGGGTTTATTAGCTGGTTATGATGCATTGGTTGTGTTTGAACAGCATTATAGACATGGAAAGTATATTTCTACAAAGTAGGTGTTCACATCCAGCCTCCTGCTGACAGGCTGTAATGTAAAACAGAAATATAATTCAGAATAGGCGCAAACGCAGTTTAATATCATGTAATTATAGTAAAGGGAGCGATAGGCTCAACCACAATACAGTTTACAATACCAAAAGCATATTCCATGAAGAAATTATTTCCCAAAAATACTTGTTTATATAGGTTCAATTTCAACATCATTTTGATATAGTGATGCAAGCTGGCTTTGCATAGAGTTTATTTGTTGATGGTTAAAATATAAATAGCCCTTCTTATTAATACACTCATATAAAGCGTTATAATCTGCTTATAGTGCTGTAAAATTATAGCTACTCACATTATAATGCATTGTAAGTGGGATTATATACAGTAATACATATATTGTATATGGGAACTGTAATATATTTTGATACTTGGACAAAATGATGTAATTCAAATCAAATCAAGTTTTATTTATATAGCACATTTTTAAAACGATTTTTGGTCGAGCCAAAGTGCTGTACATGCAATAAAAACACTTTACTACAATAGCAAACAGAAGACAACAAATTACAACAGCAAAAATAAAAATCACACACAGGGAAATGTCAGGAGTCGTGCTCCGCTCTGACTAGAAGGCCAGAGAGAAGAAGTGAGTCTTAAGTGAAGATTTAAAAACCCCTAGGGTCTGGGCCGACCTCACATGGAGGGGCAGAGTGTTCCAGAGCCTAGGGCCAGCTGCTGCGAAGGCTCGGTGCCCTCGGGTTTTGAGCCTGGTCTTGGGCTCTACCAGCAGCAGCTGGTCAGCAGACCTTAAAGCTCTGGCTGGGGTGTAGCGCTGGAGGAGTTCAGCTATATAGGCCGGAGCCAGCCCATTTAGTGCTTTGAAAACAAATAAAAGGATTTTAAATTCAATTCGGAACCGAATTGGAAGCCAGTGCAGTGAGGCCAGAATTGGGGTGATGTGGTCACGCTTTTTGTGGCCAGTCAGCAAACGTGCAGCTGTGTTCTGCACTAGCTGCAGGCGTCTAATTGACGCCTGGTCCATACCCACATACAGAGCGTTGCAGTAATCCAGCCTCGTGGTTACAAAGGCATTAATAACCCTTTCTAGGTCTTTAAAAGATAAAAACGACTTGGTCTTGGCCAATAGTCTTATTTAAAAAAGATTTATTGATTAATTCCATCCAGATGTTTAGATGATGTGCTAATTCAAGATATAAGAGTGTGTTGCTTCTTCTTTTATTTGACATTGAGTAGAGAGGATGTGCTGTTCTGCAGTGTTTGCCCCTCAGAAGAGCAAACCTGGAAGATAATGTCAATGTAAATTAACTGTGTGACATGTTTACATGAGAAAAAAGCATGGTGTTATTAAGAAGAAACATCCCTGCACCTGCACCTGATAAGACGAGCACAATGTATGGCTTCCTGCTGACACAAGCTGTAATATAAAAATGGAAATGTGAAAATATAAACCCCATAGCTCTATCTGTGTCCTCTAGTCCTACAATGTTGTCATCATTTTGGACGTATTACTCAGAGGAGACTGGTGTCAGTGTGACCGACACACACAGCGCTGCAGAATAAACCCCATCAGCTCCATCAGTGCATGTCTGTCCTCCGGAAACCCGAGCTGGGTAACTTTAGCTTAGTGAATAACAGGGAACAAGTCCCTACAGTATGTTGTTTGTTCGTAATAAGACTTAACTGGTAGGGGAGATATTAAAACTGACAAGGGTAAAACAATCTATATTTTAAAGGGGCCCTTGTGCATCAGAGTGTGAATGATTATTATTTCCAGGTTCATTTTAGTATGTTGTGCCCCTGTGACATGTCTCCATGCTTTAATGTTCAAAAAGCTCTTTATTTTTCTCATTCCTCTTTTCACCCTCTGTGTGAAACCAGAGCCCAGTCTGCTCTGATTGGTTCGCTGGCCGGCTCTGTTGTGATTGGTCAACTGCTTAGAGATGTCCCGTCCCTTAGCATATCCATGCAATGTGTTTGAGCACTAGCCAGTAGAAGCGCAAGTGGTACAGTGTGATGTCACGTACAGAAGTAAACAAAAGAATCCAATGGAGGCGTTTCAGGCAGGGGGGCAACTCCCTGGAGGGAGCACTTCAGGGGATTTTAGCCATTGCTAATGTGACACATGTCCATAACAGTAACATTGTATAAAGCCAGGTTCAAAACTATAATTAGAATATTTAATTGACTTGAAAATATTTTCAACAGCAAATACAAAATAAATGTTTCCCTTGTTTTGAGGATCTATCATTAGGGTATTAACAAAGTATGACCAACTCCTATTGTGTTAATTAGTGACAGTAGAGATTACTGACTAATTTTCACAAACAAATGTAAAGATAGCTTTTATAAAACTCGTAATCTCTTTAACAAATAAATAATTTCACCAGTAATCTCTTTTTAAAAAGTAAAAAAATATAACCATAGATATATTCCCAGATAATTACTTACATTACATTTGGTTGCTTTATTCAAATGAACTATTTGTCACTATATCCTCCTGACAGAAATGCATATGACAGATTATGTGTGAAAGAATCTGGTTCCTCTGCCTCCTCGTAGTGCTCCTTATAGAAAGATTCCGTGGTGCCTGAAGAATAAAACATCCATTCAGAGTGTTTTTCTATCGGAAGCACTGGGTGGTACTTTGCAGGACTGGGCCATATGTTTTTGAAAAGATTTGAATTGAAAAAATGGCAATGCCTGGTTGTATTCCGTCAGTGAGGTGAAGTCTTGCAATTAAAAGCAATGGGGAGGTAGAGCAACAACTGTCTTATTCACTACTGTCGAGATAGTGACACTCAGCAAATAGGACAACAATTCAGAAGCAAATGACGTTGGGGCAACTACACAGCTCATTTACATATGGAACAGCAAACAGCAAAACAGAATTAACAGGACCGGAGAGGCGACGGCCGTCACAACAATGTTTTTAAACATGCCAGTAAGGCAATATCAAATGTTAACTTTTAATTCATTTAGGAAATATTAAATGTAGTTATTAAAAGTTAACTAAATCTGTATTTTGGATGTTTAAGATATGGCTATATCTTATGGAAGCAAACATATCCAAATATCCACGTTTTCAATGTTGTTGTTGTGTATGGTCTGCAAAGGCTAAGTTGCCTCCAGATGGAGTTTCTCTCCCACACACTCCTCCCCTGCTTGAAACGCCTCCATTGGACTCCTTTGTTTTATTCTGTAACATAGTGACATCACTGTGTAACATTTGTGCTTCTAGCAGACTGGGCTCTGGTTTCAGACAGAGGGTGAAAAGAGGTGCTGCAGCACAGGCAGTATGAGAAAAATAAAGAGCTTTCTGAACACTAAAGCATGGAGACATGTCCCAGTAGAGACACAACATATGGGTGATGTGATGGTGCTGCCAAAAAAAGGCAGATTCAATTTTAGATACTGTCTAAAGACTAATAATGGAAAATAATGATGCACAAGACAACAGGAGGGCTACAATGATTCAAAAAACATATAATTGGAACCACAATAGTTTACCATTAGTGAATGCAGGTTGTGCAATGCAGCTATTAGATGTGTGTAGGCGTCTCTTCCTGTGTGTTTCAAGGACTCACAACAAAGTGGTTGAATGTGCGGCATCAGGATGTTCAGATTCTGTTTGTGCAAAGAATAATGGCATTCCTTTCAAAGAGATGTTGATTAGCCTCTGACCCAGAGCCCAACAGTTGTTTAAAGTAACTAACTACATTTACTCAAGTACTGTACTTAAGTACAATTTTAAAGTACACTGTACTTAACTTGAGTATTTAAATGTTTTGCTACTTTGTATTTCTACCCCACTACAATTCAGAGGTAAATGGTGTACTTTTAATCCACTACATTTATGTAATATCTTTAGTTACTCAGCAACCTCGGATTAATAATGTGAAATATAATCAAGTGTTAAATCAGACTTTAGTTGCACCTGGAGTAAATTCACAAGCTACCCTGCAGTATACAAAGTCATTCAAACTAGCTGCACATAAAGAGACACATTAAAAAACTCAATAGTTATACTCAAATATATATATATATATTATTCTGAAATGGCCTGATCTGCATATTGAGTACTTTTACTTGTGTACTTTAAGTGTACTGATGCTAATACTTTTCTGCTTTTACTTGAGTAACATTTTGAATGCAGGGCTTTTACTTGTAACAGAGTATTCCTACACTCTGGTACTTCTACTTGTATAAGATCTGAGTCCTCCTCCCACCTCTGGATCCTGCATTAGCGCTCTGCCTCACTCTCTCCCCCTCCTGCCAGGCATCGTCTCCATCATGACCCTGGCTGCTCTGGCCTATGAGCGCTACATCCGGGTGGTCCACGCCCAGGTGGTGGACTTCCCCTGGGCGTGGCGGGCCATCGGCCACATCTGGCTGTACTCCGTGGTGTGGACGGGCGCTCCTCTGCTGGGATGGAACCGCTACACGCTGGAGATCCATCGGCTGGGCTGCTCCCTGGACTGGGCCTCTAAGGACCCGAATGATGCCTCCTTCATCCTCCTCTTCCTCCTGGCCTGTTTCTTTGTGCCTGTGGGCATCATCATCTACTGCTATGGAAACATCCTTTACACAGTGAATATGGTAAGATGGTTAGCATATTTCATGAATACAGTGCTGCAAGGATGGTGGAATTTTGTAGGTCAAAGTAACCCTGGTTACCTCAACAAAAAAGCCAATGAAATGTTCCAATGGACTTTTAGAATGCCACAAGCTCTGTGGCAAACAAGCATTTTGGATACAAAGGGATAGCAAGGTTAACTTGGTGGTGCAATAATAAATCCTAAAACCCAGAAAAAAATTAGCATGTCAAAGTCAATGTTTTATTTGTACTTGTTTATGGTTAGAAGTTTGAAATAATGTCTGGTTAACAAAAGCTTACCATATTTTCACGGTTTATTCTACGGCATAAAATACATCATTAAATACCCCACTGATGAAGGTCTGAAGCTTCTATGTGTCATCAATACAGCGGTTGCTAACAAGTGACTAAATGAGACTGCTTACACAAGTCCGCCTTTAGCTTAGCGGTGGTGATGCGCAGCCATGCGACCGTGATGTATATGTTTATAGCATTTTGTTAGCTTTTTATTTCTGTCAATTGATTTTACACGGTTAATATATGGAGATTATCCTCTTGAACAAAACATGTTAAGTTTCATAAATGTGTGTTTGCCACGGAGCTTATTTGAATGGAAAAAAAAAACATTGCTATTTGTAGACAAATCCCTTGCTATGCTAACTTCCGACTCGTCCTCAAAAATGTGTAATCACTGCAACACTATGCTATAGTGTTTCAGTTGATACATGTGAACAAATAATACATTTTTCCAGGACCTTTACTTCAACTGACTTCCAGATGAATGTATGACTGATATATCTACTATCTAATATATATAATTCCAATAACTTGTATATAGACTCGTACTACACTATTCCACTTTTTTTTTCTCTCTCACTTTATTTTAGAACTATTTTTCTTTTTGTATTACTTTTACTGTATTATTGTGTTGCACTGTTGGAGAAGCCTGTGACCTAAGATTTTCAACGACATAATTACTCTGTAGCTATGTTAGTTTGACAATAAAGAACCTTGAACCTTGAACCTTGATATAGAGTGGAGCAATGCTTTTTTACGGCTGACCTGGAGGTTAGCATGTCAGAAAGCAAAGGGATTTTTCCATTGGATTTTGGAATATTGTAGAAAATAAGGCCTGTTGTAAGTTTATGATATTTTGACGTTTTGTTTAGCAGGATAATATCCACATATTAACACCACTTTTATGAGTATTTAAGGGTTTGTGCAATCACCAGAAGTAAAAAGCTAATTGTAGGCTATAAACTACCTACATCACGGTCACTGCGCACCAACTACATTTAGTAGTTTATTTTGCCACTTTTTAAGACATGTGAATCGCAGGACAAATAGTGAAAATCACTTTAGCTTGTGTTAATCACAGACATCATTTGAGGCAACTAAAACAACCAACAACAGGTTTATTTCGAGATGAGGGAACCAGAAGTGTTAAAATGCTAACTCAATTCAGGTTTTGGGACTGATTCCTATTTCCACTCATTTCAGTACCTAGAACTTTACTCAGGATATACTTCAATTGACACTCCAACTGTAGCTTCTATCAGCGCTTACATTTTAACCGCACTTCTCTCAGTACTTGTATTTCAACTGCCACTTCAACAAAAGCTTGAACAGCAAATCTGCTAATTCAAAAGTTATCTGTATATTTTTAAGCAGCCAGCACAGGAACATTTTCTTCAAGAAGTCTAGTCTTAACCTATTAAAGAGGTGAAAGAAAGTATTAGATGTATGCTAAATGTAGAGGTCTTCAGAATAATAATACTTTCAGCCATCTCTGTAGAGATAGAGGCCGTTTCTCAATGTCGAGTAAACCTGCTGCAGAGCCACTATTTCAAGTATACTACGTCATCGAGTGGCGCCGAAGGACTGTTTAAATGCATGTTAAATGCCCAGCATTCGGCGCCACTCGATGACGTAGTATACTTGAAATAGTGGCTCTGCAGCAGGTATACTCGACATTGAGAAACGGCCACAGTCTTTACAGACTCCTCTGGGCTTTCATTTTGTTGAAAATAAACTCCGTAACCTCACTCCCCAAATGCTGCCTCTCACTCTTCTTCCATAATGGGCAATGTGACAATGTGCCTTCAGGGTTTTTCCTGAAGAGAAGAAATCAGTGAAAGCCGATTGTTCATTGTGCCTTAGAAGTGAAGACTTTAAGTATCATTAATGTCCTCAGTCACACCAGACAGTGTGGTCTTATATGACATGTAAACAGGCTGTGAAGATAAGGATTAGAAGTGTTCATGTTAAAACACTGAAAAAAGTGTCTCAGATAGAATTTGTGGCGCCACAAGATTTTCCATTGTGTTTGTTCCGATTGAAAGTGAACAGGATATTTTGTGAGCAAACATGTAAATAAGCCAAACTATGCAATTCTAATCAACTCACCTAAATCTGTATCTGTATCACAGTTTGATACAGCCGCTATTTTTAATTCCTGATTTATTCCAAATCCAAAAATCTCCCTGAACAACTTAGACTCCTGGGAGGTCTCTCACACGTCATAGAGTTGCTCTAAAAATCTTCAAAGAGAAGTACTCTGAACCTTACAGAATATTTTTGGCTTGATAAAAAAGAAGCAGTCGGCCTGTGTTGAATAAACCAGACAATCTCACTGCAGGCGTCTGAAAAGATTGAGAACCCTAGAACACTGACATGAAAAAACATTATGAAAAGGACGAACAGAAATAGAAATAGAACTTGTGAACTCGTGAATATAAATAAAAAGCTTTGTAAAAGTGATCAGGGAGTTCCTGAAAAAGAGAGCCAACTATAAGTAGATATTGCACTTCACTGATTTAATGATTCCTTTCCCCTTCGCAATTAGCATCATCCAATAACCAAAGTAGCCTTTGGTCTTAATCACTGTCAATATGCCATGTCCATCATTTGTCAAGTTAAGTTCCATTACCTATATTCCACGAAACACAGAGGTTATTTGATGATATCAGTGACATGTAGAAACCAAAGTGGTTTATTGCCAATTTCATTTTTCTTTTCTCCTCGCCTTTATTTCTGTTTCTCTCCCAGGCAAAGCTGCATTGGAAAATTTGATTAAAAAGTAAGCATTAGGGCTGTTAATTCAAGAAACATTTGTATTTGATCTGATCTCACCGAAGACAATGTGCTAATCAAAAAGAAGGCACTTTGCTTGTCATAACAAGCACATGTTTTGTATTGTACTTGCTCCTGTTCAGCACCATGATTTCTTGAGGCGAGTCCAACTACCTCTGTTGTTATTTTGGTTCCAAAACACAGTGCAGAATTCTCAATTATTTGCAAAATTATTTGTATAATAAAATAAGAATAACTGTAATATTGTACAGAGTTTGTTAAAGGTTGTTTGAACCAGGGGGGGAGGGATCAGAAGATGAATCGGAGGTCACAAGAAAGAAGATTAAAAACAAACCTTTTCAGGACACTCAAACCTAATTAATTCTAAAACATATGCGCAGCCTGTGAGATAAGTAGAATTTTGCTTTAAAGGATTACCAGCAAAGAAAGGTTGAGTTTTTGAGAATGATATTAAAACCACTTTGAGAAACTGTTCTTTAATCATATGTGTCAAACCCTTAATCATCTGCACTGAGTAGTTAAATGTACTATATAGCAACATATTTCCCATATCTGTATTAGGTTAGTTTAAAGCAATAATATTAAGTTTAAATGAAAAATATTAGGTTCAACTTAATATTATTGCTTTCAACCAATCTATTACAGTTATGTGACATCTTTTTGACAATACATTTAATTAAAGTTCAATCAGGAGAGACGTTGATGTATGGAATACATATTTATTACCGGGACACATAATATGAATGTAATAATGATTGCCACAATATAACAGGAGAATGGAATGGTGTTTGGCGATTAGGCCCCAGTTTGCAGGATAATCATTCAGGAGGGGGAAGAACCGCTCTGATGAAACCCCCCGGGGTCTAGACACTGGTGGTGGTGATAAGTAGGTGGGAACGGACTGAAGGGAGAAGGTTTAGCTTGGTCCTGAAGGAGACAGGAGGCGAAAGGGGTGGAGGAGGGTTGCGTTTTGTCACCTGGAATGACAGCTGACAGAGGGAAGAGCAGATATAAAGGGATTAGCGGGAGCTATGATAGGCTTGTGAGAATGGAGAGAGGAGAGATTGGTTAGCTGGGGAGAGACGCCCCCGATCACTTAATGAGGAAGGAGAGTGTAGTGAGGTGACGTGTAATCTGAATGAAGAGCTTGGTCTTCCTGATTGAACTTACGCTGAACTTCATTAAATGTTTCATATAATTGAATAATCATACCTGGGGACAAAATCCCCCTTATGATAGCATCTTTCTCTCTCCTGTTCCTTGTAGCTGCGCTCCATCCAGGACCTTCAGACGGTTCAGATCATCAGGATCTTGCGGTACGAGAAGAAGGTGGCCGCCATGTTTTTGCTGATGATCACCTGCTTCCTGGTGTGTTGGACGCCCTACGCTGTAGTGTCCATGTTGGAGGCCTTCGGCAGAAAGAGCATGGTCTCTCCCGTGGTGGCCATCATCCCCTCGTTCTTTGCCAAGTCCAGCGCGGCCTACAACCCCCTCATCTACGTGTTCATGAGCAGAAAGGTTGGTAGTCCTAAAGTTCTGTAAATAATAGATTTGAAAACTGCAGTCAATAACTTTGTATCTGTTCTGGATGCACTTAAAAACCTGCAACTATGGGACTCTGCTCCCCTTCTTGCTCTGTGAGGGTGAGGTCAATAAAAAGACTCAACGATCTCTGCAGAGCCAACGTGTTACATCTTGAATATATTCTGTTTTTTGCTACAGAGTTCTGATTGGGAACTTTCCTGTGTGTTCCGCCAATTATTTCCCCTCCAGTGACCACAGCTGAAGTGAGAATTCGATAGGGCGAATCAATGTCATCTCCAATAGGGGCCGCGATTTGTTTTCCTCTGGTGCTGCTCCAGTTTGTGGTTTCAGTAGAAAAAACAAGAGATTTATTATCATTGTAAAATAAACGGGTATTTTATGAGCATTTGTCGGAAGACTTTTACCCAAAATAGTGCAGACATTAATTTGCCACTGTTACTTAATGAGAAATCTGCCAAATAGTGGAAAGAGAAATATTTCTAATGAGAATAAAATCTGCATCATAGTCCAGGTGTCAGGGTTTTTCCTGTTTTATATTAATAATTTGTATTAAGTATAATTATTCCATAAGTTACACATTTCAATCACCTACATTGGTGATAAAAATAAGCTGTATAATGGTAAACCATGTATTCCTTCAGTATTCATTTATTGTTTGTGTAGGTCTGAAACTGTGTCTTACATTTGTCTCAGTTTACTAGCATTTTTAAAGGCTGGTCCTGTGTGTTTGACAGACAAATTAGTGAGGAAAGGGTGACATTTCATCCCTTTTCTTAAGTACTATCCTTTAATCTTGCTTCCCCCTCACAGTTCCGGCGCTGTTTGCTGCAGCTGCTGTGCTCGCGGCTGTCTTGGTTGCAGCGCAGCCTCAAAGAGCGCCCCATGACTCCGGTCCAACGGCCCATACGACCGATCGTCATGTCCGGAAACTACGGCAGCAGGAACCGACCTAAGAAGAGGGTGACTTTCAGCTCCTCCTCCATTGTCTTTATCATCACCAGCAATGACTTCCACCAACTGGATGTGACCTCCAAGGCTAGAATCCCTGCGGAGGTTAATGTCATTCAAATCAGGCCACTCTGATCCGCAAGGACGGGACTTCTCACCCCACCGTCACTATGCCTTAGGACCTAAATCAAACCAAAATAACCCTCTCTAACCTCCCGGGATATTTCTATGTATATACACAGTTATGAACTTGTTAAGACTACATGTTAGCCCGAGACCTCAGCTGAACCTGTTTGCACTGTGTTGTCTAAGCAGGTAGTTTGACATTCTGATTCACCATCAGCTATGGTGATATAATGATGTAGTTAACAAAATATTTTTCAAAAAGGCCACATTTGACAACTGCAGAACTGTTTGGAGTTTTTAGCAGTGTTATGGAACTGAGTACATTGTTTGGTTGGTACCCAACTGTAAGCATGTAGAACCACACAAATAGGCCTTAGCTCCTTAGCTAGCAAACTGACATTATTTAATATGGATTCAATAAAGAGATCCTATTTATAGCTACCTAGTTTATGTAACTTTAAATTAATCTCCGGATTGACAATAGCAGGAAATGACATTTGGTGGATCACCACAGATGAGGACTACAGGAGTGTAATTATATAAGAGGCGATGAGAGTATGCGCCAGTGAGACACTCCTTTCATAACATCCTGGCCTGTCAGCTATGAATAGACTTGATGAATGGATTTCCATAGCTGATGAAACCCTTAATCCTTGGAGACATGTGACTTAGTCAGTGAGGTGTCTTTTTATAATTGCGTTTAGTTTAAAGAATAGTTATTGAATTACACTTGTTTGGTATCTTGCTGAAGCTACGTTGGTAATCTTCCTCAAAACATGTTGCGTTGTGTTTGTTGAAATTGTTTTAACATCCTGACAGCAATTAGTAAATCAAATGCTCTGTCTGAAATAAAGAAGGTTTCTAGGACTTTTTTAAAGCTTGCCAATAATTTTCTTCGGCCATTAATGAAATCATTGGATAGTGAACTGCCTTTATACCTGCTAGCTTAAAAGCTGTGAGTGATAACAGTAGGAATGCTCCTTGTTGACTTTCATATTGCTAAGTGGCTTTTGAAGGAATCCTGAAGAAGAGACTGAGATATGCCGTCAGTGTTGCCGCCTTTTCCCCCTACATTTAGAGCTATTGCTACGAGCTACTTTCATTCGGAAAGGCTTAGCAAAACTGGGCTGGTTTTTGTTGGTTGGAGAGCTTACTTTCAAAATCTACCATCTTCTTGCAAGTTCCATGGCGGAGTGATGAGTTTCAGCGTCAAGATTATTTTCTCAGTCAGTGGAAATGTAGCCATACTGTACATGGTTGATTCCTGTTGCAGACCAAAATTGGCAATTTACAGGCATGACAGATCTTAATAGTTAGCATCTTTTATGTTTTAGAATTTTAGCTTGGAAGGTTTTGACTGGCAGTGGCTGACATATAAATGTTGTGAAACACACAATACTATCTTGGGATATTTAGATAGATATGGATGGAAGATCCAGGGTCTACATCCAAAAATCGTCCATGTTTGATGTCCAAATGTTCATTAAGTTAATGCTAACTCTCGCTCTACGTACTGACAATCCGCTTTGTGCTCGAGGTTTAAACTTTCTTTGCCGGTGTTGAGTTTTCCTGTCAATCAGTCTCTGTTTGCCTATAAGACAAAGATTGGTGTCATTTGTGACATATTCTACGCACTATCTTGTGCAGGATACGTATGCGTACAAGATTTTTAGAGGTATGTAGAAATGTCTTATTCAGAAGAAGAATGTGAAAATCCTCTCAAGTCAGTTCAGTCCGACATTTTAGGTGACACTCAGATAAGAAAAGACATCTTTGAGTGATCTTTTACCACATTTAAAGACAAAGACCACTCGAAGATGTTTCCAATACATCAAACTATTTTTAAAAAAAGTCACATTTTATAACAATATCAGTTGAAACAATATGAAAATGTATTAGGGATGAACCCACGTGTACTTACAGAGCTTAGCAGCTTGTTTTAAGTCTGTTGCTTGTTTTTTTATGTGACATTTTTGATGTACTTTTGCTGTTTTGTTCTAAGTCTGTTGGTTGTGCTTTTATGTGAAACTCTTGGCTAAAACGTGTTTTTCTCTCAATGGGAATATATTGGCAAATTTAAAGAAAAATCTGAAACCAGCAGCTCTCCTCGCCTTTACAGAATATTCATATATTACGTTTCAGCTTTATATTTTGCTGTTCCACCCACAAATGTACTGTTCTGGTTTGCTGTTAGAGGGTCTGGCAGCAATTATCAGAGAAGAATCTCGATAAAAGCATCTGTACTTTACCTACTAAGCACCACACAGCACTGTTGGCAACTGGCTGCTGAACATAAAACAAGAGCTTTTAGCACCTAAAGAGACAGATATTTGTCTAGGGGGTTGGTAAAGACCAAACCCAGAGCAAAACAAATTGAGAAATTGACGAATATTCCTCAGGTAGACACAAACACGTCTCCAAATGAATGTTGCTTTCCAAAACTTGCTAACAAGTTCCAGAACTGAATATGGGTTCATAACTGGTTTCCACGGCCCCCAAGTGGCCTAAATGATAGATTTGAAAGAAGTCCCTCATTCTGCATACATTCAATGATGTATGAAAGATCTAACAGTAACAATGAGGCATTTATTAGAAATGTATGGAATATCTCACATGAGTTTACAACTATTTTGTTCTCAAATTGAAAATTGTGAAAATGATGATGCATGGAAATAATAAAAAACGTTGGGCTTATTCAGTAACATAATCAGTTAAACAGAGAATACATTTGATATAATTATCAATCTTTATAACTTGTATTAGTTACAGTAGGTTAGGACAGTCACTATTCACCAACATGTATAGGCTGGCAGAGCCTTCATTGTGGTTATAAGATTATTCAATCAAACTCTTTTCACAATATGGATTCTCTCATTTCTCTTGTTTGATGCTGCAGTCCTTGCACTTGTCTGTCAGATCGGAGCCGGGTCTCAGGAGGTCCAGAGGGACATGAGCCTGGCCCACATCTTCTCAGTGGGGATGATGAGCTTGTTGATATCAGGAGGATTTTTAAAGAGAAGGTAGGAGCCTCCCAAAACAGCTCCTGTCGCACCGAACAGCAGGCCGCGGTTTATCACCTGTGAGAAATACATCAGTACATTTTTCTTAATTAAATAGGGATCAGCTTTATGCACACACACACTTTTTAATTCCTAACACCTTCCCTTTTTAAATGAATTCCTTTTTGAGGATCATTCGTAGTTTGAAAGCATTAAGCACATCATAAAAACAAACTGTCATACTTTACTCTAGGCCTTTAGTTCGTCCTATTTTGTTGTTTTTAACTAATTTAGGGATGAACTGAAGATGAACTGCTGCTGTAACCTATGCCATCTTTTACTCCTAAAACATTAGCTGAACATGTACAAAAATAAAGTTTCCTAGAATAAATTGATATTTTCTTAGCAGTAATGATATTACATGTTACTTGTTGATATATTTATATCAAACTGTATGGGACAAAATCTAACTTTTTTATGTTTTATGTAAAAAAGTGATTAGGTTTAAAAAATAAACCAAGTTTTGTGTATAAATTGGTATAATGCATTTTTCTTTGTGCTGCCTACAGGCCATTCTCTTTAAAATATCTCAGGTTTAGGGAGTAATGGATTACATGTAACGGGATTACGTAATCAGGATAAAAAAAAAAAGGTAACTGTATTCCCTTAGTTACATACAAAAAAAATAGTTATCAGATCACTGTCCATTTTTCAAAATTGGGGATAACTCAGGATTATAATGTTACTAAAAAACCTAGAAAGAGCATATAGTGTTAGTTGTAAAAGGATCAGATGTTATCTCTTCTCTGTCAGCTGTACTGTTCTGTAGGCTAATACTTTAAGTGTGAATCTACGCCTACTGCCTGAATCTGCTTTATGGTTTTCACTTTCTTTGCTTCATTTGTTCTGTTTTTAATTCAGCAGGTGATCCTATATGTTCATAAAATAGTGTGTGTGAGCTTAACTGTGTGTATTAAACTAAAACGGAGCATTTTCTGTCAGCTCAGATTTTATTTCAACAAAATAGAGAGGTTATCTAGCTTTTGCCCAAAGGTTCCACCGGGTCGAAACAATTGACTAAAGAGGTTGTTAAATCCCGGCTGTCCTTCTGACAGGGGACCATTACTGCAGAAGACATCAGGTCATCGGACAGTTTAACACAGTACCAAGGACTAACTGTCTCATGACATCCAACAACAGAAATCAGAAGAAGTGCTGCAAAGCTGTATTTGGGAATAAAGTATATAAGTACAAACAATAAAGTAAATGAAGGGGACCTATTATGCTTTTGGGGGTTTTCCCTCTCCTGTGGTGTTCTCTAGGTTTGTGTGCATGTAAATGGTCTGCAAAGGCTACAATCCCTGTGTTCCCTTCAGAGGGAGTTTCTCTCCCACACACTCCCCCCCCAGCCTGAAACGCCTCCATTGGACTCTAACACTCGCGCTTCTATTGGCTATTACTCCAAAACGTTGTTTGTGATATGCTAGGAGAGGGACCACTCTAAGCGGTTGACCAATCACAACAATTAAGAGGCAAATATCATATTTATTTTAAACTTAGTTACTTTTTACATATAAAACACACAATATGCTGATTTAAAATTCAGGACTTTTACTTGAAAATGTTTGTATTCACAGACCATAGTAATTCTACTTTTAGTTAAAACAATTATTTACGCTTCTACCACCACTGGAAATATATTATAAAATAAAATTGTACACAATAAAGATTAAATAAAAGAGTCTAAAGAGAAGACCGATTTTCTTACTTTGTCCTGCCATTGCCAGCGGTCCACAGCCTTATGGTACCTTGTCCTGGTGAAAGTGACCTGGAGGCAGTGAAGTACAGAAATGAAAATGTCTTCTTGTATCAGACATTGATTATTTAGTTCACTAGGACACTTACCATTGTGTAAAGTGGAACTATTGTATTTGGCAGGAAGAAGTGGAGGAAGTTATCGAGATGTTTTCTGAAAAGGAACCACTTTGAGTTGACATGGGCTCTCATCTACAAAAAAAAAAAAAGGACAAGTGTTTAGTGAAGTGAACCACCTTTCATTCATAACGCAATGTCCTGAAACTCAAGAGAGTCTAATTTACTCTGCAATATTTGGGGATCAAGCTTACACAAAGTGCCAATTTATGGCTTTTGGAGAGCCTGAATTGTATTGGACAGTGTTAGGGAGCTGGCTTCCTGTCAGATGTACATCTCTACACCCAGAACTAAGGCTTTCCTCTAATTATGAAGGGTCTTTTATGGGTAGTGAACGGGCCTACCAGGACAAGACCAGGGGCCCAAAGTGTCAACGCCCATTGGTCCTTAGCTACATAATGTCTGTCAAAGAGACACGTGCCAACCAGGAAGTGAATCAAAATGACCACAAAGACACTTAAAACGACTAAAAGAGGCAAAAAGGACCACAATGAGACCGAATCAACTACAATGAGATGCAAAACAGTAAAACTAAATAGCTAGCTAAATGCTACAAACAAACTACATGGTGGTAGTATGGCTTGATGACAACACTGCGAAGCTAAAGGTGGCTAAAATTCTGCCTGATTACATTTATTATTCTCATATCTCATTGGGGTAAGGTATCTTGCCCAATGACACATCGTCATGGGGATCCAACCACTGACCTTCCAATTAAACAGCTAGTTACGTTTTGTTTCTATGGTTATGTCCCCTGATAGCTTGCACCGCATCATACAGCTGTTATCTGATTGGTTGTCAGAGAGGTCAAAAGGTCAGTGCTAAGAAGGTAAAACTTTAAATAATTTGAACTAATTATCACATACTCAGCTGTACAGATCTTCAAAGCTTCCATCAGCTCTTTTTGGTTGACCGGCCCACATCAATACTGATTTAGTTAAATTGGACATATCAAATACACATGCATTACTTCAATGTAGTTGTACATGGCCAAGTCTGCGATGGCGTGATCGTCTGGAACTCGCACTCTGGTATACTCAGGCAGGACAGCACCTGGGTGGACACACAAAGGAAAAAGGCCACACTTTGTTATGAAATCCTCTGTCTCATTTAATCCATGCTCATTTCAAAAGTACTTACTGAAATCCTCATTGAGCTGCTCCATTATTTCGTCGAACACAATGCAGTCCTCAAAGCCCTATTAATTACAAATGTACGGATGAGTTTCTATTTAGTGATTTTTCTGCCTTTTTGTTCTCCTCGATTGAGTGTTACTCACAGCGTTCATCCCCTGCCCGTAGAAAGGCACCACTGCGTGTGCGGCATCGCCCATGAGGACACATTTATCCCCAATGTGGTACGGGGAGCACTTAATAGACACCATGGCCTGCCCAGGCAGTCGGAAATAATCCCTCTTGAGAGCATCACTGCAACACACAAATAGTAATAAAACGGTTAGCAACTTGTCATATCTTTTTAACTTTTCCTTTTTTCCCTTGCTAAAAAAAGATCAGAATAAGCTGTATAACCCAAAATAGTGAAACAGCAAAACAGAAGAACAAAAACATTCTCTCGTTATGTAACACTCGCGCTTTTATTGTATCCTATCGCTCGGGTCGGGAAACCTTTAAGCAGTTGACCAATCACAACAGAGTCAGACAGCTAACCAATCAGAGCAGACTGGGCTCTGGTTTCAGACAGAGGGTGAAAAGAGGTGCTGTAGCACAGGCAGTATGAGAAAAATAAAGAGCTTTTTGAACATTAAAGGTCTCCTATCATGCAATTTTTAGGCATATATTATGGGTCTCAGATATATACAAATATATAAAAACATATCTATAATGTGTTTTGCTCAAAATACAAACAGATCATGCATTTTAGACATCCCTCATATCCCTCTATTCCAGCCCTGTGAGAGATACGCTGATTTTGGGTCCTTAGCTAGAAGAAGAAAAAAGGAGGAGGCGGAGCTAATGCCTGCTCAGAATTCTACCGGCAGATACAGTTAAATGTTGCCGTGATTAAACGTCATCATGTTCCAAACCACATCAAGGACTATTTCTGAAACAGTTTGGAGCTCAAATGCTTTTTCTCTTGCGGGTTTACCTTTTTTTATTTCCTGCTTTTTTACACATACCCTCTCCAGTACAGGTTAGCTCTGAGTGTTAGCGATGCTTGCTAATGTAAACAAAGACCATATTACGTCCAAAACACGTCAGGCATTGTTTCCGATAGCAACGTTTCTGATAGTGCCGTGGGTCCACATTTCTGATATTACTTCATATCGGACGCAAATCTGGATCAGCTCCGTTGTACCCCTGTTTTTAGAGATGTGGGTACGGAGGGAAAGAGAGAGGGTTTTGTTTTCTGACACTTTGCGAGTTCCCTGACCCACCAGGGACACATATCTATGTATAAAAGACATCAAAAAGTGCATTTTGCATGATAGGACACCTTTAAAGCATGGAGACATGTCACAGTAGAGGCACAAAATACACATATGAACCTCCATAAAGAGGACATAATAAAGCTCTGCCGGCTTAACAGAATACATGTAAGGGGTAAAGTAATCAGGAAAGAAAAATAGGGAACTGTATTCCCGTACAATTGAGGACAGGATGCAGGATAAAGCATGTAGCACAAAGGCTCCAGGAGGGGGGAGGCAGTGTTGCTCTATGTTCTAGCATCAGCTAAATGGAGCCAAATGTGGGTTCACCACAGAGGCAAGGCCCTGATTCAGCAACAAGCTGTCAAAATGATATAAGATGAAGATGGAGATTAAAAAGGTGCTTCATGGATAGGGGTTGGGACATCTGACAAATAAAAGATACCACTGTACGAAATTGTCACGTGGCACTCATAGTTCGAATATTCCAACTTTTACCTCGATTAACGCTGACCTTTCGATGTGCAACCAACCACATCAGAGCCGTGCTAAGCGGCACAAGCTATCAGAACTAAAAAACTCAAAACGTATCTGGCCGTTTTTAACCACAAGGCTCTACGCATAACCTTGCAGTGAGCAAAGAGCAAATCACGTATCATGTTAATGCAGCTTAAGCCTTTCGTTAACAATAAAGCACTTGGCCGTCTCTAGTGACTTCTTTTTGAACCTGTAAAGACTTCCACTGCTGCCTTGAAGTATTCGCAAAGAGGTCCTGACTTTTAGGCTGGATTTGAATTGGGCATCTCACCTTAAAATACTTTCCCTATCTCTCCGTCACCGACAACATGAGGTAATGGGAAGTTGGTTGACATTGCATTGACGTGCATGTTGGCACTATGACTATAGGACTCAACATTGAAACGTAAGACATTTGGAGCAGTTCGGAGATTGTACTCTCAAGTGACCTCAAAATCCTGTTTCATTGTAAGTGTCTCAAAATGGCTGAAACAACTTGGCAAGGGCGTTACAGAAAGCTTTTAATCAACACCATGAGGTTCACATCAAATTAAAACCAACCCATGTCACAGTAAGGCTGCGGGAGACAATGAATAGAGAGAGAGGGGGAGGTTAGGAAGTCACCTACACTCCTATCAGTGGTATGGTGTCTGCGAAGTATTCCTGGAAAAACTCCATGACTTCATCTCCTGTGGTGATCTTCTCAAACTCGTCAAAGGGCATGAACAGGGTGCAGGTGAATGTCTTGTCCTGAATAGAAAATGAGAAAAAAACGAGTGGACAGGAATGTGACACATTCAATTACAACAATTCAAATTGAACTCAGAGTACTGTAAAGACTTGCTGTTTGGTGTCCCCTAAAGCACATTCAAATATATTTCTAGAGGACTTACAAAGAGCACTATTAAAATGCAGCATCAAATAAGATTTAATGCAAAAAATGTAAAGTCCTCAATATTAACAACCTCTTTTATACCTATAGACAGAGGTGGAAGAAGTACTCTGATTATTTACTTAAATAAAAGTAGCAATACTAGAGCTAAAAATACTCAATGACAAGTAAAAGTCCTGCATTCAAAATTGTACTTAAGTAAACGTAAAATAGTATAAGCATTAAAACATGTTTTAAAATTGCCATTTTTGCATAGCGAGTACTTTTGGTATTTAAGCAACAGATAATTATTTTATTAATTGATTAAGGTCATTAAAATAATTGGGGCATTAATGTGTTCATCACTTCAAGGTCCTACAATAATATCTAATAATGTTTGTTTGTTGTTTTATATTTACTCTGCAAAGTAACCAGTTACTAAGTCTGTAAAAACAAATGTAGTGGAGTCAAAAGTACAACATTTGCCTACAAAATGTAGTGAAGTTAAAGTACAAAGTAGCATAATGTAAAAATACTCAAAGTAAAAGTACCTCTCTTTTTTACTCAAGTACAGTACTTGAGTAACTGTTACATCACACCACTGCTTATTGAACATTACATATCATGATATCTCCTGTTTTAACTATATGGCCTTGGTTTCCAGATGTGTGTTTCAGCATGTCTCCTTTTTTTTTAAATATATATTTTCTTAAACAACCATGATCTAATAATGGCATTGTAAATATATGGTTAAAACTGGATAAAACGTCAATTTCTGTAGTTCGGTCAACATTGAATCCATTCACAAATGAAGTTCCATGAATGCTACATACTGTTGTACTGTACACAAGGGGCGAACCATGTCTATCACAACTGGACCTTCTGTACACACACACATATACGATTCTCATTTATTCATTTTATTTACATTTTATTTATATAATTAAATCGATTTTTTTGTTTGTTTTATCTGAGTGTTCCAGGGTATTCTCTGAATAAGTTGAAGGCCCTGGCGGTTCACCACTGCTGTACACACAAGACTTTTAATTTTAATACAGACTTACATTACTTTAATGGACCGTAAGAATCCTCCATGCTGAACTTGGTATAGGATCTTCCCCCCTATATGCCATTGTAATAGCCAAACTCCACCCAGTGAGTGATGGATGCAGTGCACTGAGGGTGTGGGCGTGCCGTTTCCTGTCCATTCGAGCAAGTTTTATCTATCAAGATCACAAAGTCCTCCCTAAGGACCTTTCAGCACTGTCTCTGTTACCATGGTATCCACAGCACCAAGGATGACTTAGTGTTTGTATGTCAGCCCTAATGGGAACTATGGTGCACACCAAAGCCAGCTGCTTAACCTCGTCTCATTATTATGCCGAGTCAGACTTGGATTAAGAAGGACAGAAGAGTCAGAGCGATGGCTTCACACAGAGACTGATGGAAGGAGAAGTGTGATCAGCATATTTCCAATGAGTAAGCCCCCAGTGGCTATGATCTGGAAATAAGGTTAATTAACTGAGAGGACATCCCAGAGGTCAGCCATGTGATTCCTGTCACAATGATGCAGCACCCATTGCTGATTAATTAACATATAGTAGTGAGAATCACTATAACACGCAGGAGAGAAGAAAATAACATTCACACTCACCGAGTTGGGCAGGGCGATCATCATGAATGTATTTCTTGGCCAGATGTGCAGATAACCAGGCTTCATTGCGAACTGGGGGCGAAGATGATACAAGTGAGACAAATTAAACAAAATATACATTGGTGCCAAACAATTGAGAGTCCAACACTAGCAGCATCACACAACATTCAGTAAAAGAAAAGTTTGATGTACAGAGGACCAGGCTCGGGGAGTAATGGATTACATGCAACGGGATTAAGCTATTAGCATACAATAAATGTACCTGTATTCTCTTGCAGTTACATAAAGAAAAGACTAAATCAGATTACTGGTACATTTACGGAGCATTTTCTTGCCAGCTCAGATTTGATTTCTGCCTTTTTAAACTGTAGTATGTTCTCACGTGTAATGTAATTAATACATGCCTGAATATGCTGAATGCTTGGGTACTTTTTTTTTTAAGGTCACATTGTTCTGTTGTCTTTCAAAATACAATTAAGTGAAAACATCTTATTGCTAGTTATTTTCTCTCGTCGTGTAATATTAAGGTACATTTAAAGCAACGGAAAGTAATCAGGTTACATTCATTTAATATTTTGATACTCAGATTATTTTACAGGTAACTAGTAATTGTACAGTTTTAGAGTAACCCCCCCCCGACCCTGCAGAGGACTGACCTCTCCGTTGACAGGCGGCATGGTGAGCTCCATGTATCCGTGGGGGATGTAGGTCTGGCTGTAGTTGAAGCGGCTGCGGCGGAGGAACTGCTTGCGGATGGCGGAGAACGCTCCATCACAGCCTACAATCAGGTCAGCCTGGATCTGATCATGAGACCCATCCAACCTGAGGAATGAAGCAGAAACAAGACAAATTAACTTCAATGTACCGCTACTGATTCTCACTATTCACACATTTCCTTCTTGCGCCTTTTCACACATCACGTCAATACAGGTGAGATGGGGTGAGGACAGAGCATATGGTGGTAATGTAACACGTATGTGATGCAGTGCTGTTTAGGTTGCATTTCCAATGGAGAAAACAAAAGGCAAAGGGGTGCGTTCCAATCCCCACATGCAAACACACTGCCTGTGCACTGTTGCAATGTTTTATTGAAATTAAAACACTGTTTTATTAAGTATATAAGTGTCAAGTGCACTCCAGGATGACATTTGAATTCTTAGTACACTCAACAAATTTAAAGTGAATTTAAGTTTTTCATTTTAGCAATGAATGCAGAGTGACTCATTCTAACCGACATTTTAAAATAGGTTGAATTACCAGGCATGAAGATATAAAATACATAGAAATGAAAACATTAACATCCAATGCATTTTTACACATTTTAGATAACTCTGAATTTAATTGAAACTCTTTGATCAGACTAAGCAATTGGTGTTTCACTGCATGCTAATTTCCAATTGTTAATTGGGTTGTAAAATACGTGACATTTAGCTCAAGGACTACTAATTACAGAGCTACTGAAAGGTCATGCAGAGCAGCTTCAAAGGCAAGACGTTTATCACCACCTCAGAATGTGACAAGGCAACATATGTTAACATGTAACACACAGGAGACATGGATGAATAAAGACCGTGTTAAACAATGCAGATCCTCCTCCCAGATTACTCCATGTTTGCTATTGGTAATTATTTACCTGGTGAAGGTCATTAGCCCTGTTTCAGGACTCCAATCCTTGAGTTTGTGATCAAAGTTCATCTTCATGTTTGGATATGTCTCTGCCTCTGTCGGATAAACATGTTACAAAAAGGAGCTTATATCACAGACGAAAGCATGTCATAACACCGGCAGGTTAATAAAACAGGACATATCTCGTTAAAAAGCACAAAGAGCCTTCAAATTCTAGTAAAGTGCAGTAAAGACAGACCGTCAGCACATCAATGAAGTGGAATGACCTCACACTGATAACAAGAGTCTCAACAGAACAGTCAGTGTGTATTCATTTGTTAATCAAAATCTCCTCTTCACTCCAGGAGTCTGGATTGCCCCCTGATAAGAACCATGTCTTTACAATCAGCACACGTCACTAAAGACAGACTCTGGCTGTCACACTTTACCTCCAAGCGCATACTGAGTCTGAGTCACTTCATTTAACATAAGGCACAATCCCTTCAGGGTAGAAACAACAACAAATCCCAGACGTAATTCTACAGAGAGGATCTGCAGTCGATAAGGCTCAGCGCGCTGGTTCTCAACCTAATGTGGGACCATTCGTGTTAGGGAAGAGTTTGTCATTTCATTTGGAGTGCAATACACAGTTTATGAATAAAGAATACATTGAGGGTTTAATATAGGCTTTCAGAGTATTTAAGGATATGTATTAATAGAGTATTCTTACACAAAAAAACTGAAATGTTGACTTTAACTAGATGTATTATGTCAACAACTGTATTAGGTTCAACTTCATATTTTTTCTTTCAACTAACCTAATACAGTTATGTGGAATTTGTTGGCATAATACATTTAATTCAAGTACATTTTTCATTTTTTAGGGTGTACGCTAAAAAGAAATTGAACCGTTGACTTAAATGTATTATGTGAACAGATAACACGTAACTGTATGAGGTTAGTTGAAAGCAATACGATTTAGTTTAAATACAAAACAATAGCTTCAACTTAATATTATTGCTTTCAACTAACCTCATACAATTATGTGGAACCTGTTGACATAATACATTTACTTCAAATCAATGTTTAATTTGTTCATTCTGGTTAACCCAGGGTTAACCTTAACTCAAAACTATACGGTTTAAACTGCACTTATCCTGGTCCTGTTTAATGCCAACAGTGTTTACTTTGTGGAATTCCAAAGTCCATTGAGAACTTCAGCCCAATTTCACAATGGCAAATGTGATCCCTAGATTTTAGTCGAACCCTGCTCCTGAGCGGAACCAACCAACTAAGGCCAAACTCAGGCTTAGCCATCTCTCGGATTGTGCCTGTGTAAAATAATTGTAATATTGCCTCTTGTTTTGACTACACATGTTGTCCAACAACAGTCAGATTGAACTGACTGCCCACTTGTCCAATGGCCCATTATCCAAAAGACAAACGCCTATCCCTACTACTAACATAAGCACATTGTCCTAGTCACAAAGTGGAGCTAAAGTCTTTTTTTAAGTTGAACTAAAATGTAAAAATCTGCTCAATAACATTCAATTGACTCTTTTGCTGTGCTCCATAGGCAAGCTTTTAGAAGGTAGACAAATGAAAAGAAGAATGTTCTCTTTTGCTCCTTCTTTGTACATGTGTCACCTTGTCCTGCTGCTGCTAACTATATCTTAATCTAATCTCAAAATATTTGTAATACTGCGGTTGAAAGTGTAACAAAAATGTTGGTAGGATTGCTTTCGTAACTTTTACGTAAAAGTGACTCGTTGTTTTTTCACCCATGGGAGAGACAATACATTGCTGTCAGATGGGGAGAATGTCCTCAACAAAGTTAGCATTTTCTTTTAGACAATGTGCATTATTGTATGTTCAATTATAATTGCAGTTAGGCTATAATTGGGTCATTTCAGCACACATCTTCTGACATTGTGTTGCAATGGAAAGTATAATAGAAACAAACACGTAATGTTCTTACCGGTTAGCAGCTCTTTGTTCAGGTTGGCTCGGTCAACTGACAGGATGAACTGAAAGGAAAACAATCTGCATTAAATACAACTCCACCACAGCTACACAAACACAACTGTGACATTTCAACTTATGATCTAAAGTTGTCAAACTTTTACTGTGACGTAGTTTAGGAAAGTCCTAGACTTTAGACAAATAATAAGAAATGTTATGGCATCTTTCCCTCTCATACTAAATATAGCCTATTATAGGCAGACATGGGATCAAGTTGTAGGCCTTATTTACCAGAAAGTCAAAATGACAAGGTATAGTAATACCTCATTACCATGTGAATAACAATCAAATCTACTAAGATATGTTATTGACTAATAGGTCATTACAACATTAAACTTAAAGGGGACCTATCATGCAAAATGCACTTTTGTACGTCTTTTATACATGAATACGTGTCCCCGGTGTTCCAGGGAACTCACCAAGTGTCAGAAAACACAACCCTCTCTATTTTCCTCCATACCCAAATCTCTAAAAAAAGGGGCTGCAACGGATCTGATAAAAACTGATCAAGATTTGAACACTTCAATGACGTCAGGACGGTGGCGCTACAGCTATTGGGCCAACTCCACCAATCAGGAGGAGACAACCACGGCATTGCCGTTCGAAAGCGCTGGAGACGCTGTAGTACATATGCCAGGCCTCTAGATGGTGCTGTTCTCACAGAATCAACCCTTGCAAAAACAGAGCTAACATTTTTCAAATTGAGCGAAATGAGGCATGGCTAAAATGCATGATCTGTTTGGTATTTTGAAAAAAAAAAAGTATAAATATGCCTTATATAGGTATGGTCCAACACTATATTATTCAAATATAGCATGATAGGTCCACTTTAAGTTTGCTCCAACCTTTATGTGTGTGTTGGACTATGGCAATGTATGTATGAATGAATCTTCTAAATGTCTAAACTCTTTGGATACATCTACCACAGACATTTAGAACAAACCATAGAACCCCTTGAACACAACTTAGCTCCTTGTGTGCTCGGGTTGGATGGTTTGCACTTACCACCCGTAGACTGAAACATTGGCATATCCTAATTTATAGGGCTATTCTTGGTGTTATTCTCAGTGTTATTCTTCTATCTTATCTACAAGGACATGTTTTGACTAACTGTCCTAATAGTCCACACTGAGCTGGGCAAAGGGAGTTTAGTTCTGCTGCTCCTGTTGCCTTGAACCAGCGGAAATATGATCTGAAACTCCGGGAGCTGCTCCTCTAAACAGATTTAAAGTGCTTCTGAATGACCGAGAAACAGCAGCTCCGTAGACGCTTCGTATGATGGTGTTTCTGACTGTGATCATGATATGTTCTCTTTACTTGTTTTGAATGTGTTGTCTGTCACTCTGCTGCTGCCTATCTTGGCCAAGACTCTCTTGTAAACAGTGGTGTCAAATAACTAAGTAGATGTACTTAAGTACTATACTTGAGTACACTATTAAGGTACTTTACTTGAGCATTTCAATTTTTTGCAACTTTGTACTTCTACTCGACTACAATTCAGAGGTAGATGTTGTACTTTTACTCCACTACATTTGCTTAATACCTTTACTTACTTTACAGATCTGGATGAATGATGTGAAATATAATCAAGTGTTAAATCAGACTTTAGTTCCACCTGGAGTAAATCCACAAGCTACCCTGCAGTATACAAAGTCATTCAAACTAGCTGCACCTTTACCAGCTTTGAGAACACTTTCATGATCAATCATTATAAAACATATCATATATATTATTCTGAAATGGACCAATCTGCACAATCACTACTGTAGGAGCCATGAAACATGTATAGTAATGCGTTTTGTTTTAATATAAGATATTTGTTTGAGCACTATTGATTGGTTGGCTTGGGTCACATGGATATGGGCGGCACTCATTGTAATCCTGTTCACCTGCGTGAGGTGTGTGTGGAAGAGAGGGTGACAAAGGGTCGTTGTACTTTTTGTTGACCGCAAGTTGAAATGATTGCTTTGATTAATATAACAATGTACATGTCCAAGGAGAATAAGTTGATCATCCCAGTTTTCATTAAACCACATTATTTTGCAACAGAGTTTTGGATCTCAGCAAGTACTTTTTTTGTAGCGTGTCACACAATATCCAACAGGCCCGGCCTCAGCCTCTCAGCGACTTTGTTTGTTTCCTGCTGTCGCTATAACTACTTTTACTGTCGGTACTTTAAGTATATTTTGATGCTAATACTTTTCAACTTGAGTAACATTTTGATTGCAGAACTTTTACTTGTAACAGAGTATTCCTACACTCTGGTACTTCTACTTTTACTCAAGTACAAGATCTGAGTACTTCTCCCACTTCTGCTTGTAAAAACTCAAATGAATCTCAGTGAGACTTTAATAAAGGTTAAACCAAAACATAAATGACATTGTTGTTATTATTATAAAATGGGCATTTTTATCTGTGAATGACTTGAGTCCTACATTTGGCAGGGGGATAAACTGTCTCCAGTGATTCTGCCTCTTTCCGGGTTTTGCATGATGTTTACACTCTAGCAAAGACTTACCTGGCCTTTCTTTCCATAAGGGATCGGGGACTGTTTCCCACTTGGGGAATGGATCATTCTCGCATGCATGGGGATCCCCTGGGAGACAATCTGAGGGGAAATGATAAATACACATGGGTCAAACTTTTAAATGACACTAATGTAAGATAAATAATGATGTTCTTGTAAGTCTTATTCTACTGTCTTGCTAAGTAAATGTCAACTCTCTGCCCCCAACTTTTTTTAAAACAAGCCTTGTTGTGTCATGCTGAAAAGTCATGCAAGTGTGAAGAAAAAAGCTTGTTTCTGATGCAGAGTTCTCATCTCAAGCATGCATAACATGCTCAGTGTAGCAAACAGACCAAAAAAAGGACTCCTGATGCCGGAATAAACCATCTTGAGTAAAGCAAAGGAAAGCCTGGTGGACAGACTCCCTGAGGCCCAGCTAATAAGAAAAGAAAGATCAATAAGATGTTTTTTAACAGAACAATGTGACCTTAGAAAAGAAGAAACCAATATATTTAGGACCAAAAATGTGTCCTCTGCTCAGAGATTTTATTTATAGTAAAGCTACCTTTCATTCAGCATATTCAGGCAGTAGCCTATACACCAACACTGAAACACATGAGCACATACTACAGTTTAAAAAAGCAGAAATTAAATCTGAGCTGACAGAAAATGCTCCGTTTTAGTTTAATACACACAGTTAAGCTCACACACACTATTTTATGAACATATAGGTTCACCTACTGAATTAAAAACAGAACAAATGAAGCAAAGAAAGTGAAAACCATAAAGCAGATTCAGGCAGTAGGCGTATAGATTCACACTTAAAGTATTAGCCTACAGAACAGTACAGCTGACAGAGAAGAGATAACATCTGATCCTTTACAACAAACATGCTCTTTTTAGTTTTTTAGACACATTGTTATCCTGCTTGCAATCCCACTTTTTTTTTAAAATGCAACAGTAATCTGATTATGTCTTTTTTATGTAACTGTAAGGGAAAACAGTTACCTTTTTTTAAATCCTAATTACATGTGATCCGTTACTCCCCATGCTTGTAAATAACCTCCACAAGTATTTGTTTCTTCCAATACCCAAACTCCGGCCACTATGCCCCTGCAGCCCTGAGAGCAATCTTATCTCATTTCCACAATATTAGATAACCAGTGTTTTGACCAACATACCTTGTCCTCCATCCCAACATGCTTCAGTGCCTGGCGGCCCCTGTGAGACAGAGCCAGGTTGATGCTTCTTCCCTTCACCACTTTGGCTTGTCGGATATCTGAGCAGAATCAGACAAAGTGTTAATCTTACTTTTGTGAATGTGTGGTTATCAGTTGAAAAGGCTCTGATTTTGTGTGGATATTGATTATTATAATGTTGATTCATGGGTTATTCCTCAAAGAGGGCATTGATTGAAGATGTTATTTGAACACTACCTTCCCGAGTTTCGAAGACTTCCACATCAAAGCCTCTTTTGGCGAAGTAGCAGGCGTTCAGCGCCCCAACCTGAGGGGTGAAGGACAGACATCTCGCCAAAATCAATCACATTTTATTTATACAGCCTGATATCACAAGTTAAACAATTACCTGTTTACATCTGTGCAATCACAGTGCTTTATACTGTCATACAGAAATAATTATCTCTTTACTAAATGATATTAACACTATATGCTGCATAGTCATACTACACTCTTTTGGTAACTTGTTTCCTTTTTTCCACATTGGTAAATGCAAATAAAAGATGTCTTATCTGCTTCTTTCAATTTCAAAATCAGAATAAGAATACTGATTACCTACTCACTTTGAAGGAAGACAGACACCAAATGCAGTCATGAGATTAAATGACAAGATCTAGGACTAAAATAGTTAAATATTACACTTTTATTTTATTTTCTTACCAACCCTCCGCCAACTACTGCAACTTTCTTCGGGGTTAATCTGCCGGTTGGTTCCTCCATTGTGCTTGATGTTCTCTGGCGCTCTGACCCGCTCACTGTCTGGTTCAGAGTGATTTACAGAAGTAGTGGCCGGGTAATGATTTATAATAGTAGGAGGAGCACAGTGAGTCCCATGAAAGTCCCTTCCCACCTCAGTTCCCCTTTCAACAAGCAAACACGAGGAACAGATAACCGAGGGCTCTCTGAACACTTTCTGGAAGCCTGAAGGCCTGATGTCCTTGTAGACTAGTGTACTGTTAAAATGTTATATTATGTTACTATGATATTTCCAAAAAGGTCTTACCGTCTGATCTGAGGGGAATTTCTTGTTCTGTTTTAATTTGTGGTGTGTGCAATTGTGTTAAAGCACTTCGAGCTGCACCTGCTGTATGAAAAGTGCTATACAAATAAAGCTTTATTATTATTACAATGATAACCTATTTGTGTGTAGTCCATTGTACAAATAGTTAAATAAGGAAAAACAAAGAAGACACGAAGATGAAAGCAGTTATTTCAGGTAGGGAATGTCTTTAAACAAGGAAAGCAATCTGTCGCCATCTAGTGGTTGAAAGTTTAACTTCAGTGGCTACATAACCACTCCTCATGACACATGTTTCTTCTCATTATATTAGCGAGGCGACTTTAACGCTGAACCTAGTGCATCACCGAAGATCATAGATATAGCCTACAGCCATATACTGAAGCGTACCCCCACTCAGGATTACCACCAAAAATAAGAAAGGCAAAACTAAAAAGTGGCAAGATCTTCAAACCTGCCCGGTGTCAGGGTGCTTGTTGATAAATCGTGATCTTCTCGCTCCCAGGAAAGAAACTTAAAATAACGAGACTAATGGAGTCTCTGAAAAGGTTCAAATGGGTAGTTTAATTAAGTAACGTGGTTAAAGAACAAGCATGGGTAATGGAGAGACAAAGCAGGTGATGTCTTCAGGGAGGCTGCAGCGAAGGAAAGAGAGCGAGTCGTTGTCCGTCATCTGTTTTTATCCTCCTCTCGTTGTCTCCCGCTGTGCAGATAGTGGGTACGCCCTTCTCATCTGTTTTGGTTCGATATCGCGAGAGTACAGATGATTTCGACATTCTGTATTCCCTGTCTACTTCCTTAAGCCTTTTCTCTTCCTTATGTCTTTCATGACTTTCTATTTAATCCCTTATAAACAGCTGTAAATTAGTTTAAAACATTGTTCGCGACATGCTACGTACTGACCGGATATGAAGGATTTTCAGAATAAAAGCTTGGCATTGAGACTTTGTGAACTTCCGGGTTTTTTCACAATAAAACAGTTTTTAAAACTGACGATATATTTTAGACTAATTATGCTATTAACATTGATTTTAATTTCTAACATGCTCAAAAATGAAATTGCAGGCTGGTGAAACAATCAACTAAACAAAGAGCAACACCCACACATTAACTCACAACAATCTCTAAGCAAACAACGGCCACTAGATACAGACAAATACACATTTACCTCACCTCATGGACGTTCAATCTGACGAGCCGAGAAGGGTCTAGCTGCGGCCGCGGCCAGTACACGACACTACACGACACGCCCACTACACGACACGCCCACCTGACACGACACTACGGTGGCTGAGAGACATTACCATACATGGCAGATTAAAAGCGAATTGACGACACTGACGCTGATGCAAGGATATTTAAAGAGACATGAGGTTCAGAGAACAGACAAACAATATGGCGCACCGAGTACAGGTAATTAACGTATTGTGGTTTTAGATATAATTACATACTATTTAGGTTCTCGTTTGTTTGTCGATGTGGCTGTTTAGCGCAGTGTAATTGTGTTTATTTAGCTAATTTGTATTTTAAATATTAAATGTAAAGGAATGGAATACATATAAATATATATATATCTTAGCTCTTAGCTTGACATGCTCGACGTTCAGTTAGCATATATGCTAACTGAACATGCTCGTTCAGTTAGCATGTCAAACTAAGAGCTAAGATATATGTATATATTTTAGCTTGACAGATGGAACAATGCATGTACTCGCATTTTTACAAGAATCTGATTTTAAATATTCATTGAAGGTGTCTTTCACATTTGAATGTTTAAAAAAAAAAACATGTATTAGCTGCTATACTGACATGCACATATGTATAATTATATTATTATTTTAAGTGTGGTTTAAAGTTAAATGATATATAGTTATTGGGTAGAGCCAAGTAACCCAGGTGGATGCAATCAGGCCTCTGTTTTTAGATGGGGTTTGTGGCCATGCTGTAGGCCTGACATTTAAACCATAGACCGTATATATATATATATATAAAGATTTAAACTAGCTGAAGGGCTTTCTGTTCGAACCACAGTGACATCTAGAGGTTGTTTTGTGCATAACATGTCAACCAAAAAGGTAGAGCTGGCTGAATCAGATGGAGTTAAACTTTTTTTTTTTTTCAACAAGATATCAAGACACAAAATGTGCTCTACCAAATGGTGGCGCTGGCAGTTAAAGGGTTACCTTCTGAAAGTGAGGAAGTATGACCAGCTTTGTCCCATAGGATTATACAGGCCAGTCCATTGCTGCTTGTTTAAGGAGTTAACTATTTCCAATATTAAAGTCACTGAAATTGTATTCTATTTTATTCACCTATAGACAAACAACACAACACTCCGTGATGGAGCACGCCCAGAGCTCAACAAATTGGACTCGGACACCTTCCAGTGTCCATTTTGTGAAAGGACCGGGTCATACCCTGGTCTGATGGCTCATTTGCAGAGCCACCAGAGGGCACTTGTGAAATATGGAGGTAAGTACATCTATAATTCTATATGATCATTGTATACTTCATCACATTACATTACATGTTACTTGTTAGATGTGTTTAATGCCTCACACATTATGGATACATGTGTTATTTCTGTGCCCCAGGACATCCTTGGTGTAAATTCATTTTGAATTATAAATTGAACATTAAAAATTAGATTTATATTCAGGTTATGAAGTGTTAATAATGCTGGAAAAATATCCTTATTTGGGGTAGGCACAATATGAGCATAATCACACATTCAATCTGCAAAAAATCAGTTTATAGGCAAAAATATTATTGTTGGTGACATGATTATTTATTGCTCTCGCACAAACACCTTGTTTCAAATTGCATATTTACAAGAAATTCATGTTGGTTTGTTTCTAGAATCCTCTAAACCACTTTCTGTCTCTTTTTTTTAGGTTATAATGTTTATAAATGCCATCTCAAATGTGTGGCCAGCAGCCATTATCACTGTGGCTTTTGCCCAAGAATCATTGGGAGAAAGGAGATGTTTATTAGTCACTTTAAAAACTGCTGCACTGAACATCCAACTACGTTGGCGGCGGCCCCAGCAACCACAACGACTCCTCCAGTGATGGCCCCGACGGCCGCTCCAGTGATGGCCCCGTCGGCCGCTCCAGTGATGGCCCCGACGGCCGCTCCAGTGATGGCCCAGACGGCCGCTCCAGTGATGGCTCCGACGGCCGCTCCAGTGATGGCTCCGGCTGCTGCAGCAACATGGCACAATATTTCCACAGCCCCCAACATTTTGATGTCAAAGCGCAAAACCACAACATGTTGTTTTTGTAGCCTACAACTAAAAAGGAACATTTTTCACATGATGTTCTGTTCAATAAATGTTCATTGAGGAAAACGGTATCAGTGTCTTATTGTATATTCATCACAGTGAATGCAGTGCATGCTGAACTTGCCGGACCATATACTGTAGTTGAAAGTACACAATGAAACACTGGCTTGCTTGTATCAAATCAATACAATTCCCACATGCCCTACCCCGGAACCTGCGGTCTTCAGACTCTGGCCCCCCACACCAACCTGCGATCCTTCGGGGACAGAGCCTTCAGTATGGCAGCCCCCACTCTCTGGAACGCTCTCCGTGCGGAGATCTGCAACATCCCCACGCTTGACGCCTTCAAAAGGGCCCTCAAGTCTGCCAAGGTCTTTGGCCCCAAATCTATTTGTGTTGTCTGTCTAACTGTTCGTCTAACTGCCTTTTGTTATGTTTGTTTCTACTCCTGTTCTTTTTAAAGCGACCTTGGGTCTCATGAAAGGCGCTATATAAATCCAAGTTATTATTAATACATCATTGGAACGGTAAGAATCTCAGCTACAACACTGACTAAAGCCTTCCCATCTCCAGTATGCCTACATAACAAGCATTTTTATAATATACAGTAAACATATCTTTGACTTATTAGAGAAGAGACAATCATCAAGCCAGATACCAAGGTATTTACAACAGGCAACCACTTCAATTACTTTTCCTTTATGTTATTGTTATTTGGTTTTTATTAGTGCTTTTGTCGTTTTGAAGGAAATTAAAATACTGTATTGAGTTGGTTTCTTCTGTTTTGGAAGCCTTGTATATCTTTTTGGTCTTGTTAGAAATACCCCATGGTAAAACAGTGTTCTAGCAGCAGTTAAAGAAGCTTAGTTTGCTGTCTTAGACTGCCAGTTGTATTAAGATGGTTTGTTCACAATTTACACATAAAACCTAAATGTTCATCTGTTTATTGTTCTTCTTCCTTTATATTCAAAGCATGTTGATTGTCTATTGGCTATATCTTGACATTATGTTAATTTGATCATACTTTCCATACATTTATTTTAATTTATGCGATTCCTTCAAAGGTTTTGTAATAGACCCCTAGTACTTTTAATTTATAAAGTAATAATAATACATGTGAATGATTGAGCTCATTAGTGGCCTGACTGGCCCTCCTAATTTGTTCCTTAATGACCCCATGATGTGATAATGTATATCTTAAAACCTTTAACAACTATATTTAGATGTTCACAAATATCTACATTTATGTATAAAATACATGTGTAGCAGTTAGACAAACATAATCAATAGATCATCTCATTAATACCTATTTTATATATTAAAAAAAAGTTGACTAAACCACCGTTTGTTGACAAAATGATTTGGGTTGAAAGTTATACTGTTGTGTCTCAAACGGATAGACTAGGTTATTAATTTATTTGCCTAATAGTTGCTTAAAATGCTACAATAACATTTGCAATTCGTTTTTAATCTGCCATGTACGATCTCAATAATAATAAGTGTCGTCAATTCGCTTTTAATCTGCCATGTACGGTAATGTCTCTCAGCCACCGTAGTGTCGTGTCAGGTGGGCGTGTCGTGTAGTGGGCGTGTCGTGTAGTGTCGTGTACTGTCCGTGGCCGCAGCTAGACCATATTGTCTCTATGGGTCCTCGAGCTGGTTACATCCATGGGTTACACATGTGCGTTCAGGACAGGAGATTATTGCGCATCGTCACATGCATAATTACCATCGTCACAGAGAGAATGCGTTCGTGAAGAATGTGAGCATATATGCAGATCTTTAGTGTTGTTAATGTTATAAGATTGTATGCATAGTGTCCTGCTGAGTGTGTTAATGAGTCTTGATGTCCCGTTTTTAGTTGCTATGTTGTTCAGGAATTGAGCTAATGCTAGCTAGTTAGCTAAATTAAGCTATTCAGATGAGATGCTAACTTAGCTTTTATTAGCCGTGTGTTTGCAACGTGTCTAATGTGTTCTTATTATACATCCATGGTGGCCGCAGCTAGACCATATTGGACGAGCCTCCATTTATTACGCCCCACCCTTAAAATGGCCCTATGGGGGTCACAATTCCACCACTGACCCAAATAGAACACAGAAGACACCTTTAATATAATCAAATCCATAGGATTAATTATAATCAAACATAGTGTACAAACATCCATCCTGGCCAGAGGCCTCTCTCTCCTGCTGCTGAACTGGAGCTTTTACCCTCTTCCTTCTCCAGCAGTGTTAATTTCGTCAACGAAAACTATGACGAAAAATGTTCG